CATTTCCGTCATTTGCGGGATTCTTCACTTTTTGCTGTCGCAATTTGACGTCCAGGAGGGACTGCCATGGGCATGCGCCTCAAAATACAGAAAAAATGCAAGCGTCATTTCAGTCATTTCTGTCATTCCTGTCATTTTTTGTCTTTGAGGGTTCTCGATGCTGGGTTGGTTCAGCCAGACCCGTGTCAGCCTTGAACGTCAAAATGTCAGGCGTGAGAGACCTCCAAACATAGAAATGACAGGAATGACAGAAATGACAAAATGACGCTGTCATTTTTTCTGTGAGAAATTTTTTGGTGCATGTCCAGGCCAATCCCTCCTGGACGTTAAAGGTCAGTCCCACAGATGAAGAGTTCATTGGTGCATATTTCCCACAGATGAAGAGTTCATTGGTGAATATTTCCCACAGATAAAGAGCTCATTGGTGCACATTTCCCACAGATGAAGAGTTCATTGGTGCATATTTCCCACAAATGAAAAAATGACAGAAATGACAAAAATGACGCTGTCATTTTTCTGTGAGAAATTTTTTCAGGCGCATTGTCCGGCTAGTCCCTCCTGCGCATCAAATGTCAGTTCCCCGCTGAAGAGACACACATAATGACAGGAATGACAGAAATGACAAAAATGACGCTGTCATTTTTCTGTGAAATTTTTTTTCATTGCCCGGCCAGTCCCTCCTGGACGTCAAATGTCAGCCCCGCTGGAGAGACATGCAGAATGACAGGAATGACAGAAATGACAAAAATGACGCTGTCATTTTTCTGTGAGAATTTTTTCAGGCGCATTGTCCCGCCAGTTCCTCCTGGACGTCAAATGTCAGTTCCATGCCTGGACGTCGACCTTGCTTCCTGCACATCTCGTAGCAACGCGGCAGCTGTCATTCTTGTCATTTCTGTCATTGTGGGTTCTGCTTTTTCAGCAAAATGACAGCCGTCATTTCTGTCATTCTTGTCATTTCTGTCATTTTGTCAGTGTTTTATTCTGTGCAATTTGTGCGTTCTGCTTTTTCAGCAAAATGACAGCCGTGATTTCTGTCATTCTTGTCATTTCTGTCATTTTGTCAGTGTTTTATTCTGTGCAATTTGTGCGTTCTGCTTCTTTTCAGCAAAATGACAGCCGTCAGTTCTGTCATTCCTGTCATTTCTGTCATTTTCATTAAAATTTTGCATGAAAAATATCTCGGCCGGCACGGCCATGCTCTCTCTTAAGTAGACACCTTTTTGACCCTCCAGAGGCTATTTACAGCCAGAGTGAATCATATCGAATTCCTGCACTTCTGATGCTCAAAAAACCAATCTCGAAACAGAGATGGAGCAGCAAGGCCACAGACTCAAAAGATATTTGCCCTAGAAGGTCAAAATGAAAAGTGGAGCGATCCGTCGAAAAAATCGCACAGAAGAATGACTTGTCTCGAGGTTCGGGATGTAAACGGAGGGCGAAGCCCGGAGAACCCCGAACCTCCAGGAAAGCATTTCTGTGCGATTCTTGCTGCGAACACTTTTTTTGGCCTGTAGGGCAAATTTGTTTTGAGTCTGTGGCCTTGCTGCTCCATCTCTGTTTCGAGATTGGTTTTTTGAGCATCAGAAGTGCAGGAATTCGATATGATTCACTCTGGCTGTAAATAGCCTCTGGAGGGTCAAAAAGGTGTCTACTTAAGAGAGAGCCGCGCCAGCTCAAGGTGGATGAAAGGGTTCATCAAATCTTTCTGGCCTGGAAGATACTCCCTCTGGTCAGGTGACCGAACTTACAAACTTCGGCTGATCCAGGCCGGATGCTGCTGGCAAGAAAGGAAGGTGATCTGAAAGCGGTCAGAAACGTGTCCAGTCGGTGGAATCTCCTTCCACAGAATCCCACACAAACAGGCGCACGAGCACTCACAGCCGGCGGACATACTCACCTCTGATATCTTGCTGTTGTGACGTATCTTGATAAGTTTGTACCCGCATACTCATCTCGATTACCTTGCTCCAAAAAGTCACTCCAGCGTCCAGCTCGCTTGCATCTTCACGGGGAAAATTTTTTCATTCAAATTCGCCATTTTCGTGCACACGAAGTCGTCCAAACACCTTACGCACCTTGGCACACATATCGTGGTTTCCCCACGGAACTGTCAGCTTCCCTCTCTCCGAGTTGTTGGAGGCTTCTCTAAACTCGTGGAACAACGATGGGAAGATGGTAAGGTAAGTCGCACCATGAGCATTTTGAAGGTACAGGCCCATCGGATAAGTAAATTGGGCTCAAATCGAAGCTTGTTCCTGAGTGAGAGAAGTTTGACATGTGCGACCCTTCGCTCTGATGGCAAGATGTGGAACACTCAAGAGAGCTTGTACAGACCCATGCGCATACCACATCAAGAGGGATGCGTATTTTCCAGAAAGCTTGGCCTTAAATCCAAAAGACTGGAACGTTTAGAGTCAAGGCCCAGTGGCGCTGCATTAAAGCCTTGATGGTTTTTGAGTTTGTTGCCAAGCGAAGTTGCAGTGGAGTCGCACAGCTACAGCTCTCGCTCAGACAAAACCACAACGCAAACTGCTCGTGTTGGGGCAAGGCATGTGGACAGTAGTAGGGCAAGAAGCAGACCATCAAACTAGACATTCTTTTTCTTGGCGCTGGATAGCACGCAGGACGTGTAGAGTTTTGATGCGTTTTTGGTTGTGTTTCCAGTGAATAGAAGCCTTTGACAGATAGCCGATTCACAGACGCGGGCTGGGTGCTTCTCGAATCTCAAAGCTTTTGTTTGGTGGCATGTAGTGACTTGGTGACTTCAGTTGTGGTTTACAAATCTCGCAGAGGGCTTGCGGTTGAGTTTGCTCCGGCTCTGAAGTTTGGAATCCCTGAACAGAAATTTTCACAATCGCCAGGTCAGTATTGATACCACCGAAAATACTAAGACTATCTATCATTTGTTCCTACCATTCTCATTATTGCTATTACTAATTACGATTACTATTCTTATTGTTATGATGTTATTGCTAGTATAATGATTCTTACTATGGTTACTGTTCTCGTTTTTATTGTCATTACTTTTCTTACTCAATTCTTACTACTCTTACTATTATTACTATTATCACTGTTATTACTGTTATCATTAGCATGATAATACTTGTGGTTGCAAATAGTCTTATTGTTAGGTTTTTGCTGTCGAAACTACCATTACTGTTATTATTGCCACAGACCTTTCGACCCCTCTGCCAGGATGCAGACCTCGGAGAGTCGACTCGCTGACCTGTTGCAGTCGAAGGAGGCCAGAGAAGACTCACGGGGTCTCGACAAGAGGTTTGGAGCTTGTTAGTGTAGGTGCCTTAATGAATGGTTAGTCCTGCTATTGCCACAGCGGCTGTGGCTGTGACGCTTTACCACTGCACTATGGCTTGTCCCTGCTGTCTGTGCCAAGAGGACCTTGCCAAGATTGAATCCTGAGGCTTGCACCAGGGGTAAGAATCTAAGAAAGAGCGCTGCCGGTGCAACGAAATGAAGACGAAATGAACTGCTCGCGCCAAAATCTGACGCTTTCAGTTCTATACATACCGCCCCTACTTCTGAGGAGCGTGTATAAGCTCAAAGCGACTGCAACGTGTGAGCAGCCAACTGGAAAGTACAGCCCGCCCCTACGGAGCGCGAAATTACAAGGGATTTGAAGGGAAGACAATTTTCTGTTCGACGACCACTGCGACTTCGACTACCGTTGTTTGTTCTGGTAACAGACAGGGGGAAGTATGGCTGCTGGAACTATTGTCGAAGCAATCGAAGCATTAAAACAGCTTGGACCTGAAAAGTTTCGGGACTTGGGTTTCGGTCTTTCGGCTGCTGCCGGGTCGACTACAGTTTCGGGGCTTTTGTCTGCTGAGCCTTTTTTTCTCACTGTGCCTTGCGTAACCATGTCGTGGGCGCGTTCCTGTCTTTCGTGCCTCTCGTCGGCACATCAATGTGGTGATTTCTCTCCACTCCATGTTTGTCCCCTTCCGGCATCTCCAAAGCACTGCTGTCTCCATGTCCCCTTTCGCACGCTGCACTTCCGCCATGTCCATGGCCCACTCCCTTCTCTCGGCCCGAGATTCGGGCCTGTGTAACCACTGCACCTGCCGAATTTCTGAGAACTTTCACCTAGCCTTGTCGGCCCAAGCTTTCATTCGTCATCCACGGTGATGCGGCCTGTCCTGTGTGGCACAACCCTGGCACTTTGCTGGGTTTTGGCCAAAAGCGCGGGATCTCACACAGACAGCCACTCTGACACCCACAACGACAGCAATCACACGGTCACAGACGCGAGCTGCGTCCAAGTGGAAGGACATGGTGATCATGGCAGTCACTGGTTCAAGTGTGAGTATGAGTTTGACCACTTCGAAGAAGTCACCGTCATTACACTCATCAGCATCACCTTGGTTGTGGAGTTGGTAAAGCATGGGCCACTTGGCTTGCGATACGAGGCACACTGTTGTGTCCTGGCCTGGACTGCTTGGGGAACCTGACGTCTAAACCTCAATTCGCATGCAACAAACAAGCCCGAAAAAACCTTGGAACCAAGGCCCTGCCGGAATGCACACCCTGAGCTTAACATCCACTGTGGAAGGTGTCCCGCTGAAGCAGGCCAGATGCCGGCATCAAGGCCTCCCATGTATCGTTTAGAAGATGCAGAAACCGAGGTTGATGAGAATCGATGGCTTGGAACCCTGAACCCCTCCAAGCCTGTATTTACCTTAGGCTACAGCACCTGGCCGAGCACAGCTCCGTCACCGGCAACACCTCCCGCGAGGAGGAGACGTCGCAAACAATCCAAAAGCACAGCCCCTCCGCGGCACTAGATTGCTTCAGACGTTCTTAGTTTGGGGAGGTTTGGTAGGCAGAGGGTTTAGAGGGGCTTGCTTATGCCGCTGTTTCGGGTGATCCGACAATTGATCCTTGCGCCAGTGGGCGGGCAGGCGGGTTGTGACCCTTGGCCGACCGGACCGAAGCAAGGCAACACACGCGAGAGCGGGATGGAGGCAGGCAGGGAGGGAGGACACGCACAGACACCACCTAAGGAGTTTCGCAACGGCTCTCCTCTGCGTTTCGGGGCTGCCCAGAGAGTCTCACGACCTGCTCATGCTTGGAGTGCCCCAGCAGGGACTATCCTCTCCAAAGGAAGGAAAGGAGCGATGAGGGCGATGAGGGCAAGGAGCTGTGTTTGGAGTCGAGACTGCGGCGAGAAGAACTTTAGAAAAAAAAAGAAAGCTTTTGGAACTTCTAGAAGCGCCGCCAGCACTTCTGATAAGATGAGACCATCTCTCTTCGGGGACATGGAGAGATGGGATGGGCCCAGAGATTTACAGAGGTGGAATGCCAAGCCCTGGACGGTGTTCGGGTCGCGCGTCAGTGGAAATGCAGCCTTGTTCTGGTGTGAGGTGTCATGTCCTTCTCTGTCCAAGATGTGCTATCCTGATTCTGGCTTTCATGCCCTTTCACGACTTTATCCTGACCTTCTTTTTGCTTGTGTTGCCACTCTGCTACAGCAGCTCTTCTGTGACTGTTGGTTGCCGTTGCGGTTGCCACTGCTGTAGCTGCAAGGGCCTCATTCCAAAACATCTAGCATATAGCGTTTTTCCTTGGTAGGCATGGCCCGCCCGCCACAAAGCTGTGCCAAGGCTTGGAACCCATTTGGCTGGCCTTCTTCAACTGCGTGGCTTGCCAGTGGAAGTTTCGAGTGTTTTGTAGACGGGATCTGTAGCACAACCCTAAACCCTAAACCCTAAACCCCTAAACAACTAAACCCTAAACCCCTAAACCCCTAAACCCTAAACCAAACTCACCCCAATGAGGTCACTGCCGAGTTCACCGTGCTTGGCATCCTCGCCTTCTTACTCTGGGCTTGTCATTCCTGGCTGCCGGTCTTTGACTGGGTCCTAGAGGCCTGGGGGGACCGGTGGGGGGTGGGGGGGGTTGCGGGAGTTCCTGAGATGGGAGGCTTTTTTTGAAGTGGGGTATTGTCCAGCAAGGTCGGCATTCAGAAATTTGCGGGCATGGATGTAAAGTCTCATTTCTCGGACGTAACAAACAACGCAAATGCAGTTCGCTTCGAAGAAGAGTTCGGATCAAAAGTTTGGTCTATGGCCTACGGCCTAGCGGCTTCAGAAAGTGCTCATTGCGCCCATGCTTTCCTGGAGGCGCAATACCTTTCCTAGGAGATGGTCTTATACCGCTTGTGCCAGCGGAAGGCTACTGAACCAGCCCAAATGACACCCTCACCCACCTACCTCACACGCTGGGTTTCGGATCTGCAGAAGGCAACAAAATACATCGAGGACTTCAGCTTCCCAGAGTCTGTGGAGGCAGATGGGCTTTTCGGGTTTAGGGATTAGGGTCAATTTAGGGTCAAAGTCCGTTACATCATAAACCAATGCGAAGCTTTCTAGTCTGTCCTGTGGCTTTTGTCACATGCCCATGTTTGACCGGATTTGACGGTCTCTTTAGTCGCTTTCCCTTCAGACAGCCATCCTTACACAAAGGACTACCTGCACTCGACCGAGCTGGCGCATATGCATCTATTCATCAACTTTATGCTGTATTTCCTGCTGGTGGGGTTCAGCTTGGCCAGCGCACAGAGGAGCATGGCGAACTTAGCTTTTTCTCCCAAATCCTTCCTGGAGGAAGCTGGACGACAGCCACTGCACCAGGTGAAGTTCAAGCACTCTTCTTGGAAAGAGGAGTTTCACGTAATGCGTCAAACTTTCTTGAGATCCTTGCAGTGTTGGTCTGGTCGGTGGGATTTTTTTGACAAGACGTTGGGCAGTACCATCCAGAAGTATGCAAAGCTTGAGGACGAGGGTATCGTCAAGTTCTTCGAACCATGGTTCCCGTTCGGACATTATGTTCGCCTGAACTGCCGCACTTTGTTGGACCACGTGGTTACAATACAGCCCGCCTCTCTGCTGTTCATGATAATTATTCATGGCTTCCAGGCGGCCATCCACCGCATGAAGATGGACTTCGAGTTCAGCTTCATTTGGCTAGGGCTCTTCACCTTGATCACTATTCTACTTTGGATCGCGACGCACATGCTCATTTCCCGGCTGAAGACAGGGAGGTACAATCATGGGGAGCTGGTTAAGGTCATCGAGCTGAAGCAGTACTTGTTGCATCGTCCCGCGTTGCCTAAATACCTGCTCACGCTGCTGCAAGGCTGCCAGCTCTGCGTCTGCTTCGAGCTGACCCAGCCGCTCGCGAATTCGAGGGTCTGGCAAGTGTCCTACGCGCGATCCGTGGTGTACATCGTCTTTTGCTTCACGGCCATGCCCCTCTTTGGGTGGCTAGTCTGGGGGCCGCTTATCTCTCGTGTGGCTTTGGCCATGTCTTGCGGCTTTATGATCTCAGAAGAGACAGTGCTTCGCCTACAAGCTATGGTCGAGATGCACGAGCACGGCAGGCGTGCCAGAGAGGCAGAGGGACCTATGTCAGATGACATTTCGGCATGGCAACCAGTCATCCCAGAAGGCCAGAAGAAAGACTCTCGCATTTCGGTTGAGGAGGTTGCTGAAAGCACCCCCGTCCAAGAAATGCAAGAGCCCGATGCACCGGCGCCGGCGCCGAATGTTCCCATTCATGCCTGGTAATCTTTTTTCCCCGCCAAGAGGCAGTGGTTACCACAAGGACTGGGGCGGCTAGGAGATGTGCATAAAGAGGAGGTGCTGGGAACTTAGTCGGGCCGGAGGCCGACGGACAAAAAAAAACCCAGTGCCCGCATGCATGATTACAGAGTGTGCCCCGACTTACTGGTTGCTTGTGAACTGGCTGTCCTGCTACGAAGCACGCCAGCTGACAGTGGGCGTTCCCTTTTAGCATCATGATGCTTGTGTGACTGTGCGACGGACAGTGTGGTGGGTATTGTTTCGATCTTTCGATCTGTTAACCGTGTGAGGCCGGCACAGTCGCACTAGCGAGTGGACTTCATACGAAGACTTGGTCAGTAGCCCAAAGCAATCCGAGCAGTGTAAGTCTTGATATCTTGCAGTGGTTGGCTACCGTTGTCAACGCTGGTTGCCGGCACTGCAGGTGCAAAAGCATTGGCGGCTGAAGCCCAATGTGGATTCCGTCAATGCGGCAGGCCAGGGCTACACGATTGCAAGTTGATTTAGACCCCCCTGTCCTCCAGTAGGCAGTCGTGCCAGTCCTCAACGCATATGTGTATATATGTGTATGTACACATATACATACATACATACATACATACATGCATACATAAATAAAGCATACATACATACATGCATACATACGTACACACCATACCATACCATACAACACACTACAATACAATACATTACAATACACTATAACATATTATGATATACTATAATATGCTATAACATAATAAAATATGATTTAATATCACATAGTATGACATGATTTACTATAATATAACATATGATACGATATGATATGATATCAAATATTATAATATGATATAAAGTAATAACGTATAATACAATATGAGGTAGTGTAATATGCTACGATATGGTATAATATATTTTAATATAGTATATTATAGTACAATAGAAATTCATGTAATATAATGTAATATACTACAATAAATTATATTTAACTTAGTATAATATAACATGATATAATACAATCTTTCGTAATATAGCATTAATACAGTATAGTATGATATAATATAATATGATACGATTTGATATGATATACTATGTAATAGTATAGTATCGTATAATATAATGTAATAGAAATCAAAAAATAGACTCTAGTTTAATTTGTTTTAGTATAACATGATATTGTAGTATAACATGGTAAAATACAATATGATATGACATAATATAATATAACATAAAACAATATAGTATAATGCGATATGATATGATATATTATCAGATGATAGTACAGTATCGTATAATATAATGTAACGGAAAATAAAATACACTACAATTTTATATAATATAGTTTAATCTAATTTAGCATAACATGATATAATACAATATGATATAACATAATGTAATACAATAGTAGAACATATATTATAATGTAATATTAATATTAATATAAGTCTAACATAATACAATATAGTATAATATCTCATAACCTAAGGAAATATCATATAACATTTTCATAACAAAAAAACATATATATATATATAAATCCTGGCGCTTCCACAGCGCAC